CGACAGCGCGCTATCGCCAGCGGAGCGGCCGCCTAGCGCTTTTCTGGATGCGATCTACGCTGCGATCCAAGCGCAGGGCTGGCTGAAGACGATCTTGGTGTTGGTGTTGGTGTTGTTCGAGCGCAGAGGCGGAGCTGCGGAGGAGGGCGAAGCTAGATAGCGAGCATGATGCTGATTGCTGCAGGTTCGTCAAAGATCAACCTCGGGAGCACTCGAGCTACCACACCACGATGCGTGCAGGCATAGTGCTGACAGTACAATCTTCTGTCCAACGCCGATAATGCGGCCTTTTGCCCCTCTGCGCGAACCTGCAGGTCGTAGCACGTGGAGATGACTTGCGTCCCGTTCAGGTATAGGGGACATGTTGCAGCACTTGAGCCGGTGGTTTAGCGAGAGGGCGTAAGCCACGGAAGTTGATCTTGTCCCGGTCAGACACACCACATCCTCTCCTTCGACCAAAGACCGACCAACACCACGATGCCGTACGCCGCCGATGATGCTGGCCGGACATTCAAGTGTCCTTTCCCGCGGAGTTATCTGTGACATGGCTCCCAACTTCATGGTACGACAGTCTCGTGAGACACATTGGCCTGCAGCGCGACGTCGAAAACGTGAGTAGCTTGCTTCAATACGATGGCGCTTGGATGCAATCCTGCCTCGAAAATTCGGTCTCGAGGAATCTAGTCCGTCATCAGCTGTCATTGTAGGTTTCCACCCCCGCCATCGCATCGCGGAGCGGCCGTTCTGTCACGGACAGTGTCACGCACGTTTCCTGTCGACCGCAGAAGTGTTCCAAATCCACCCTGGCTCTTTCGTTTTCAGCAAAGTGGTAGCGGCGCAATGTCGCAAAGACCAATGGGAGGAATTCCTTCTACCCTACCCTTGAACACATCTTCGCGAAGTGTTGCGCTCGTGCTCCGTTTTTTTCGCACGCTTAGGGTCCCTGCAGCTATCTTAAGCTCATCTGCCGACAAGCTTTCTCGTATGGTTAGATTGCTAGGAAGCTCCACGCGCGGCAGGGTTCTATGACGGCAGAGGCTAGACCTCTGAGACCCTGTAGGCTCAATTTGGAAGACCTCGCGAAAGTCGTTGCGACCGGGTCCTGCTACTGGCTGTGGCGTGGGTGACTGCGGCGTGTTGTCTTTGTTGTTGTTGTTCATGACTGGCTTCACGTCCTTCGATACTGAGCGTATAGCATGGGGAGACGCATACCGTTCACCGCATCATCAACAACGCAAAGGCCCCGAGCGGCACAGTGTAATCTGGACCTACAATCTAGTCTCCCGTCTCCCCAAACCGACCAAGTGTTCTGACTACTCTAGCGTCATCTATTCCCGATACGGTCTTGACAGGGGTAGTACAGCCAGCCTTCCTGAGCCAGGCACAGCCGCTTCCTCCTTCCACGGCGACCAGCACATGTACGCCGCACCCGGCCTTTTGTTTCTTGACTCTAGGCGACGATGAGCAAGGGCGGGGTGGGTGGGGCTTAGGCCTGGAAACAGCGGCCAGTTCACTCCGCCGTCAGTCGTCTGATCAGTCTAGCGTGCACCGTACTGTGTCTGGGAATTAGATATAAGGTGCCGGTTCACATCCCTGGATGTTGATATCACAAGCAAGCAACATTCAAGGTTTACTTTGCTACTACTGCTACGAACTATCCATAACTTATATTGCTTCGCCCCCTGGCTCACCATACTTTTTCGGAATAAATATCTACACGTTCGCGGAATCTATCATAACGGCCCTTTGAACTCGGTGATTGCCAAATACATTGGCCTCATTTCACGGGTCACGCAAAGCTCCTGCCGCCTTACGCTCTGGATCTGACCGGGCATCGCGATAACAAACGGGACAACGCACGAGGGGTTTCCCACGCGCACGGATTTCCACAACCGACGGCTCGACTGCGCGCTGCTATTAATACATAATCCCGCGGCCTTCCTCTTCTCAAGTTCTTGATTACCGGTCAACTACTCAGACAACCACGAAACAATCTTCACCACTTCTATACTTTATCCATATACAGGATGGTCAAGATCTCCGCCCTCGCCCTCGGGCTCCTCACCCTTGCCAGCGAAGTCTGCGCTCAAAAGACAGTCAAGGTCATGCCATTTGGTGCTTCCATTGTCTCGGTACGTATCCCACCTTCCTCACTTCAAGTTTGCATCCACTGACTCACATTCAAGCGATGCTGGCGCGCAAACCTCCAAACCAAGCTTAGGGATGCAGGTGTGACGAACTTCGACTTTGTCGGTGGCCAAAAGAGCACCTGCAGTGGGACCAACATCGACCAGGATCACGAAGGTCACCCCGGATTCCAAGCCGCCGACATTGTCAAGAACAGTCAACTGCCTGGCTGGCTCGACAAGAACCCCCCGGATGTCGTTCTCATGCTCCTCGGCACCAACGATGTCCTCATCGGCAAGAGGCCTATCAACGACATCATCGCTTCGTACGACATTCTTATCGCACAAATGCGGAAGAAGAATCCCAACATGCAGATCGTCGTCTCTAACCTCCTTCCATTGGACCCCGCGCGCTTCAATGCCCAGGCCGTTCAAGGCATCAAAGACCTCAACGCTTACATGGCTACGCACATGCCTAAGAAGAGCAATGTGAAGAGCCCGGTCTACTTCGTGGACAACTTCGCCGACTTCGACGCAGTCAAGGATACAGATGACGGTGAACACCCCAACTTGCAGACGGGTGTACAGAAGATGGCGAACAAGTTCTTCGACGCCACCAGGACAGCAATCAAGGGAGCTGCTGCGGTCAAGGCAAAGAGGCAGAGCATAGTTGAGAGGAGACTACTAGACTAGAGTGGAGTGATGAGATAGACTGTAACGAATTCATGACTTTTCATTGTGCTAAACTAGACTTGGGTATCTTAATGCAATGCCATTCCTTACTCCAGAAATCAAGTTTCAAATGTGATATGCCGCCAGACAGATGCCACCAGCTTTGATCAAGCTTGGGTATCTTTCTTTCAATATCAGGTTCCAACTTTTATACTGTCGCCAGACGGGTACCATGAGCGGAGGAGAGACGGTCGTCCGCAGGTGTCTTGGTGGTGCGCGGTCGTCAGGGCTTTGTGGTCTTGTCTGAGTCGCCCTCCGACTCGTAGGCACCCGCCTGCGAGGTGGCTTTGTCCTTGGCGGCCTTGCGTGCGGCCACGATTCCACGAGACTTCTTGCTCCTGATGAATTTGGCTTCTGCAGCCTCAGCAGCCTCGATGGCCGCGATCTTCTGTTGTACGTTAGTGCCATGGTAGTGTCAGGAGGTGATGAGATACTTACGGCTGCCTCGGCCCTCTTGACCTCGTGCATGGCAATTGCGTCTGCCGCCGCAGAGTCCTTGTCGTTGCAGACGTAGGTAGTTTCGTACCCTGCTCGACCCATTTTCACTGGCTGGTTGGTGAGGTGGTGGAGTGCTTTGCTGACTGCTGCGTAATCTGGTGTGGCTGATCGCCATTAGCAAAAGATACGCTGAAGCCGTACGATATACTGACTAGTGATGGGAGTTTGGTGGTTGGAGAACCAAGACGAAAGCTCAAAAGTTTGTATATAGCTTCTAGCTTTTGTTAGCGCAGAGGTGAAGGGCAGTCTGGGGCTACTGCCCTTCACCTTGAGTCCCGGTGAAGAAGACATGGCTGCACAAAGAGGTTCGGCAACGGTGACGGTGTTCATGAAGGAGAGACGGAGACGGAGGGGCAGAAAAGACTGATATATGGCTAGCGGCTGTGTGCGTTTGCCTCGTTAAAGTCGCCGTCAATGGGGATTACGACGGCCCGGTGCAGTTTTCAGACCACAAGGAAATTGCAAACGCGTCAGGAAGAGCGGTGTTGCGGCGGCCAGGCAACATGCGGGACGCTCGAACATCAACATCAACATACAGGGCATCCAGGAGGAAAATATCTTGAAAATGTAATTCAATGCAGTATGTACACGTGCTGTTTCGCGCCTGGCCAAATCCAACTCTTACTTGGTTGTTATGATCTTGAGCTTCTTTGGGCTGTGACTGAACAAGTTGGCATATGCCTTGGGGACGGTCTTCCGCTTGTTGGGTTCCTGGACAAAGTACTCGTAGCCTTGCTTGTTGGCAAATTTGATGGCATCCTCCTTGGACTTGAACTGTATCCGGTGGCCGTTCATGAAGTCGGCAGACGACTGCCAGCCCATGAGCGGGTTCTCCCATCGGTGGCCCTTGGGGAGGACGTCCCAGTCCATCAGCCAGTGCGAAGCGTTCCAGTCGCCGGATTGTGTGGCGGTCTTGGAGGGCTTGTAGATGCTGGGAACAATTAGTATCAAGACCGACGTCGGGTGAAGGATGTCTTGTACCGAACAGTACGCGCCTGGAGGTCGGTGGGGGCGCCGGAGAGAACGGCAGCCGCAACACTGTCACCGGGCTCACTGCCGTCCATGACGCGCTTGGGAACCGGGGAGAAGTTGCTGGGGACATGTTAGCCATATGCCGCCTTATCCTTATCCACGGTTGACGCACGAGGTCCGGTAGTCAATGGCGACATTGTAGTCTGGCTGGTGCCTCATGCCCTCTGCGGCGTTTTCCTCGCGGATCTGGGTGGACTCGCTCGTGAGTTTGACGGCGGGCGCATCTTCGGAGCTCGTCTTGTGGCCGTGGGGAGTGGGCTCGTTGGTCGCATAGGCGCGGAAGGAGGGGGCGATGACCCTCGTCGCGGAGGGCCGCAGGGCGGGGGCGAGCAGTCGCGGTGCAATTGTCCTCGGTAGGGCAGCCATGGTGGTTGTGTCGTCGGCGTGGCGGGCGGGAATGCTGGTGATGTTGATGCAATGGGATGAAGCTGGGGTGGTTGCTTGGCGAAGGCGCCGGCATAATCCGTCCTGCAGCTTTCTTCCTCGAACCTCACCACCGACCGCACGACCTCCATCTCCACTCCATCGTCTTGCCCGCCCTGGTACGTCGCCCGAACCGATCCGTCACGCAGAGAGAGTGCAATTGATGCTAACTGGCCCGCAGCCGTCAAGATGAGCTTCATGCAAAAGCGCGGTCTCTCGACCCTCATCCCCCCCAAGGTACGGCTTCTGTCTGCCCCTCGGACCGCGCATGGCACTGACAATGCTCTCTAGATTGCTTCTCCCAATGTAAGAGCCCTCCAAACGCTGTCCTAGCACGCCTTCGAACCCCCGCAATCGCATACGCGCAACTTTCGGCCCACCGCAAACGCCTCCACAGTCGCAGCACCCCGACTGCGAACCTTGGCGCATCCCGACGACCCTCAAAATGGCGATTCCAGACCAGGGCTGATGTACGAAACAGGCTATCGGCTCCTCCCCCAATGCTGTCCGCATGCAGAAGGTCGTGAGCTTCTACGAGAAGCTGCCCCGTGGCCCAGCTCCCGAGCCCGAGGCCAAGGGTCTTCTCGGACGCTACCAGAAGAAGTACATGGGCAAGAACCCTTCAGCAAGGCGTGAGTGCACCCGGCGGGACAGGAGATTATGCGAGCGCTGTCCTTGAGCCTGCGAGATCGGATGGGAGCACCAGACTGACCCTGCACAGCCCTCGTTCACGTCATTGGCTTCCTGATCGCCATCGGCTACGCGCAGAACTACTACTTCCATCTCCGTAAGTCGAATCAGATGCGCTGACGAGATGATGTGACTCACCACTTGCAGGCCACCACAAGAACAACGAGCACTAAACGGGTCCTCTGAATGCGCTGCATCGTCACGGGCGAATAGACCGGATGTGTATATGTAAAGTGTAGTTGGTGAATCAAACATCTAGCCAAGACAGTCTTTTCTCCTATCATGCATATGACTCTACCCTCTTCTTTGTCGACATCCACACGTGTGCGGCGGCGGAGGCCTGGACAGCTCTCATGGGGCCGACAAGGTCATCCCGAGCGAGGATAAGGTAGTACATCATGTGCAGTGCTACGGAAGTGTAGTGGGTCTTATCATCTCGTTTCTGAAATACACATGTCAAAGAACCTCACGTGCATGGTGTGAGCATGTGTCAGTAGCAGTCTGTCGACCAGTCTTCCCAGCAGGCTTCGTCCGGCCCGCACCTCCGCAGCTCAGGCGTGAATCGTGATTGTCGCTGCAGCCGTGTGACGCATAGCTGCCAGGGCATTCCAGATGTCAGAATCGATACAAAGAGGACCCCAGGCGTGTGCCAAGACTAGCGCCTCTCACCATCGTGGCTACTCAAGCTACCCGCCTCAACCTCCTATACACCCATCCACACCCGCAGTCCGCCCCACCACGAAAGGGCCCCTTCTTTCACGCCGCCCCCTCCCGAGCGCGACTCCACGCCGTTCGGTGAATCAGCGCGACCCAGCACGTGTTCGCGACTGCCTCCAGCCCGCGCATCCATCCAGCGAAACACTCCGAAACCTCCGCACTCGCCGCGTCACCTCAGCAACTTGCAGATAGCAACTCTGCGGAAGCGCCGACTTGACATCCGTGGCGACTTGTAGCATCTGACATTAGGTGATTATCCCCAACTTTTCTTAGCTCCCATGTCGCATGTGGAGGACAGCGGGCGTCCGGCCGGGCTCGACTCGCAGCAGTCGGCGCCGCTTACGCCCACGTCCTTGTTTGGATCAGACCAAGAACACGTTTCTGACATTGAGTCTTGCGCCACTTCAGTTCCGGAAACTGTTATGGCAGAGCAGGTTGCCAACGATGTGGTAAAGGAAGCACAGTCGGTGGGTCGTTCTGCGCCCATCGACGACTCTGCGTCAACTACCAACACCCCCGCCGTCAACGGCGAACCGCCCTCGGGCACAGCGACCACGAAACCGACCCCACGAGAAGCGTCTCCTACGAAACCCACTGTGAACGGCACAGGTGCACCCGCCACTGGTAGTGCACACGTGTCAGACAAGGCCGATGGAGATGTGGCAGCTGTAAGTAGCGAGGAAGAGGCATGCGGACGTGGTGTTAATAGTAGCAGGGCGAGAACAAGCAGTCGGATGCATCACGGCACGATTCCAAACAGCCCCACCTCAATGGCTTCTCGAGCGAACATCTGGCGGCGGAGTCGCAAGCCGTAGCAGATGCCAGTGGTGGCTCAGATACCGACATCAGCCGCCCAGGAAGCGTCGACCAGTCCAAGCGCGACGGAGTTCACGTGCGGACCAACTCAGCAGCCAAGAAACAGCCGTTCAAGTCAGTGTCTGTGACGAAGAGCTTTCTGGCCAAGACCGTTCCGACCACGCCTGCTGCACGACCGGGGGAGAAAGCAGCCCCGGCAGCCCCGCCCAAGACGTCGATTCTCACCGCGAAGCCCCGCCTCGTAGCGAAATCCGGCGCTGGCAACGCCCCGCGTGCGCTGGGACAGACCAATGGCGCAGGTGCAGGTCCAGATGCGAGCAAAGTCTGGAATAAGAACCAGCCCGTCCCAACTCCACCGCCCAAAACCTTCACCGACGAAGAACTGAAGCAGCAGTACGGCATACACCTTGCAACACGCCTACAAGCTGATGAAGGAGGCAAGGAGGCCAAGTGGGCAGACATTGACGATGACGAGGAAGACTGGACCCCGGAAGCAGTGCAATGGATGGATGGAACCAAGTCCTCAGTTGCGGTGCCACCGGAGACGCAGCCACCGCCTGCCGAAGAGCCCAAGACTATTCTCAAGCCTGAGACGCCCGCCGAAGCACCCAAGCCTACTACGTCCCCGGCTCCAGCTACGAACGCGCCCAAATTGAGCGTCACTGGTGGTGCCAAAACTATCTTGAAGCCTGGTGCGCACACGCAGCCCACTACTGGAAAGTCAAGTCTGGTCCTCAAGGGTCAGCCAGAAAGACCAACTCTAGTGGCCAAGCCATCAGCAACCGAGAAGAAGTCACCATGGGCGCCCCTGCCTCCAGTCGAGAAGGTGTCGCCGATCCAAATCAATCCCCCTGCGCAGCAACCGCCCCCACAGCGCTACTCACAGCGTGATTCCTATGGCTACGACTCCATGCCCCCACCTCCCGCGAAGGAGATCGCCCCAGACGACTTTAATCGCAACTGGCGCAACGAAAGCGGCGGCCGAGATACTCGAGACGGCCGGGAATTGTTCAATTCACAGAGTGGTCGTTATGAGCCTGTACACAATGACATGCGGCGGGGTTCTGGACGAGATGCTGGTGGTGGCTACCGGCAGCAGCCGTCCGCTGTGTTACAGAGGCCTTCTCAGGACGGCGGCCCAGCAGAGCCTTCAGCGGCGTTCCAGACGTCAAGGGCAAGCGCGGATGGTCCTACTTGGGGCAGGAGGAGGAACTCGTCCAACGTTAGTGGAACTATGCCTAGGCGTATGTCGATGGACCCACGGGGAGTAGACATGCCTACTGGTCCCATGAACATGGAGCGACGCGAATCACACTCGATCAACGGTGTGGACCCTTCGGATCCTGCAGCCGCCAGACAATCGCCATTCCAGCAGATGAAGTCTCCGAACGTTCCTCATGCACACCCGGCTTCACCCTATGGCTCAGTAACCTCAGCTGTACAAGATGTACCGGCGCCTACACCAGCACCACCGGCAGAGAACCCAGTCGAGGTACAGAAACGTTTGATGGCTGAGAAGATCGAGCGCGCTCGTCTCAAGAAACAGCAGGATGCGGAAGCCGAGAAGCAGGCAGAGGCAGAGAGGAAAGAACGTCTTGCTAAGAAGCTGGCCGCTATGGGACCGCCTGAACCCAAGCCCAAAAACAAGGATCAGTCGCCCACACGCCCAGAGCAGTCCCCACAAAAAGACAAGGCTGCTCCTGCGCCATTGCAATCACCGCCAAAACCACCTGTACCGACTGCCGAGGGTGAGGTTACACAGTATGGGATGATGAAGGTCCATCAGTCTCACCCGGTGAAAAGATCGCCTCAGGCGAGCCATGCTCAAGTAAATCCCTCACCGGTGACTGCTCCTTCATCACTTAACCAGCAATCGACGCCGCCGTTTGACGCCTTCACTCGTGACAACGAAAAGTCTCGGCTGTCAACTGAACAATCTCAAGCGATCGCTCACCAATCAGACGGCGCTATCCCTTCTGGGCCTAGGCCGCAGGCACCTCCGACCTGGTCGCAGTCTTCCTCTACAGCACCTCAACCCAGACCTTGGACATCACAAGTTTGGGGTCCTCCCGGCGCAAAAGATCGAGCTCTTGGTAACGGTACCTTCGACTCCGATTACAGAGGCCAGTCTCGCCCCGGTGCCCAGCAGCAACTTCCTGTTCAGCCACCTGCCGCGACAGCTCCCATTGGCACTGGCCTAGCTCCTCAGGCTTTGACTTCACACCCAGCAAGACAGATGCCACCTTCGCAACCCATGTACGCCCAGCGATCTTCGCGCGTCCAAAACGCTGCGGCGGCTCGGGCGGCTAGACCACCCCCAAGGAACGTCACTGGCGGCGGTTGGGATACATTTGGTGAACTTATCAAAAAGGATGACCAGGACCTCGCAGCGAAGAATGCTCAAGATAGAGAACGCCAGGGCGAATTCCGTCCCGAGCTTCGAGAGGTATACAAAGATCAACGTGGGCAAGCACAAGTGACGCTGCATGACAAGGTCGCCGCCGAACTGGCTCTTGCCGAGGCATTGAAAAAGGACGATACTACGAAGCCTTTGGTTGAAGGTTCGTCGCCTCAGCAAGGTCTGACTCAAGGCCCTCTCCAGCAGGCTACTGGTCCTCGCGCATCGCGCTTCTTCCCTCGTGCGACTGAGACCTCAACAGAGGCGACGGCGTCTCCGTCGACCTTTGTGTCAAGTAAAGCAGACTCACCTCCTCCGCCTCCCGAGACAGAGACACACCCTGCTTTCAGCAGTGAAGCCGGTCACCCATTGGTGAGACTGCCGAAGCCCTCGCCTGTCGTGCGACTTCCACCGTCGGCAGCTGGCAACGGTACGGCCGCTGCTTCTCACGTAAACATGCCGTCGCGCGGCCAAGCTCTAGGCGCCAGACCTCTCGCAATGAACCCGGAGTGGCAGGCAAGGTTTAATAAGCTCCTCGACAAGCCAGGTTCCAACCGTCCATCAGCCCATCCAAGCACGTCTCCAATGCTGCCGGTCGCTACTCCACAGCAAGGCGCGGTCGCCCCGGCTGCCTTGTCCAAGGCTTCGCTAGACGTTCGAGGAAATACTGGTCCTGCAACTGTGTCATTGCCCAGCGCGTCTCAGACGAGAATCTTTGCAGATGATCGTGGTGCAGAGGCTGTCACTCGTGGTGATACTGAGGCTCTGTTCGAAGACAGAGAGTTCGGTTCGCTGCCCACCGTCAAATTGTCCAAGGTTCCGCACCTCGCAGCCAATCAACCACCCAAGGCCGCGCCTAGAGATGAGCAGCACCCGAGGCACAAGAAATTGGAGAACCCGTTCACCATTCGCCGCCTGGAGGCATTCGACATTGAGAAGACGACACAGAACAGGCTGAAGTTCGACGTTGTTGTGCGCCTCGCGAACATGCGTCAGCCTGTCACCAAGTCAGTGCAGAGGAAGCACTACGGTCCAAAACTCAACAGGCAACCGAAACCCAAAGCGACGGGTACGCCGAGCACCACTTCTACCAACAGTGTGAAGGATCGCCCGCGCAAGCCCTCGCACCAAAGCCAGACAGATCGTTCTTACAACAACAGCGCTTCACGCCCGTCTGCTCCCAAGACTTGGTCCACCAGCAACAACAATGCTCCTCGCTCATCCCCAGCTCACACAGCTACA